CTTCGAGGCTGAGAAACCTTGATTTAAGTTGACAATAATTTTGGACGGCCTTCTTCTACGAATAATAAATAAACTTTTTTCTTCCAGTTACTTGGATGCTACTCCGTTCTATGATCATCGTTGATAAGTGATGTGTTCACTAGTGTTTCATTTTTATTTGTGTCCATGATATTTCAGAATGAAAGAAAATCACTTGAAAGTCTCGTAGAACAAAATTAGAAACAAACATTGTTAACAATTTTTTTCTAATAAAATTTGTTTTTCTCAACAGAACCTAAAAATAGATGAAACATCAAAAATGAAATGTTTCGTAGACTTGTTTACCAAGCGAAAATAAAAATATTAGAAAGTTTACGATTTTTTTTTTCTGATCTCATAAAATTATCCCCTACCTAAAGTAAAGTGTCTTGAATTTCGATAGAAGATTTAAGTGAAATATTTGAAAGGATACGCATAGCAAAGAAAATGTTACCGGGATTTATTTGTTCTGTGGTTGATAATGAAAATGTTTTTCCTGTTTATTGAGCATCAATCGAAAAGGGTTATCAGCTGAACAATATTATTTCAATCGTCAGGTACCCAAAAAGGGTAAAAAACAAAGCTATATTGATTATTTCTATCGAAGCGATAAAATGATGAAAACATTGAATGCACCTTTTTGAATCTGAAGGAAAGTGGTTTAAAAAACAAGAATAGGTAGCACATTGATTAGCTAGCAAATTTAATCGGTTTCATAAAGATAAAACATGTAAGTAATAGGTACATTCCTAATCGACTTCACCATCTATGAATTGGTGTCTGAACAAACTGATCTCCTAGCGCATTCGGCATAACTGTATATACCCAGTAAGGAGCTGATAGAATATTATTCGTCCTAATTCACCATTTCTCCTTAACGCAATCACCATGAGTGAATATTTTTCTTTTTTATAAAAGGAAGGTTTTCGTTCCCTAAATTTATTTATTTAGCGTATGGCTTATTCACATTACAAAAGTTAACATAACAAACATAATTGTATGAAAGCATAAAAAGACACAGGACATTAAGTTTACAAACAATAATAATAATAGTCATTTATTTCCTTAAGACAGTTACAAACCATATGGAAAAAGTCACTTGTTTACATTTAAAATACAATAATACTAATATAATTATAAAAACACTGTTCTGTCCAAAAGAATTTTGAATTATATTTGAATGATTGTTTTGTCATGTAGTTTCTCACATTTGAAGGAAGAGCATTGTATATTCTAGGAGCCATATGACTGGGAGATTGGTGAGTTATTTTGAATTTTCCGAATGGAATTAAAAAATAATTCTTTTGTCTTGTATTGAAACCATGATTTTGTTTGTTCCTCATATAAATTTCATCATTATTGTCGAATACTAGCTTACTCAACTCTGATATGACTAGACATGGTAATGTTAATATTTTCAGTTTCTTGAATATATCTTTGCATGAATCAGTCTGTGAAAACTCCGTCATTGATCGTAAAATTCGTTTTTGTGCCTCGAAGATATATTTTGCTAGGGTAGATAAAACCCAAAATATCACACCGTATTGTAGCCTACTTTCAACTTGTGCATAGTAGAGCTGTATCAATTGATCAATATTGAGTACATGCCGCAAATGTCTAAATTGAAAGGCAATCCAATTTAACTTTGAGATTAGGTAATGAGAGTGAGTGAGTGAGCCTTCCAATTGAGATTTTTATCTATTCGTAATCCTAAGAAAATTGTTTGATCTGAACTAGTTGAGATCGATGGACTCAATTCGTTTGATTGGAATGACAACTCATTACATTCTATTTGGATATGCTCAGTGCTTGCGTTTTCGAAGTATTTAAAAACAAGTAATTTGCTGAAAACCATTCATTCAAAGGAGTCAACACTTCATTGCATTCATCACGTAAGGAAGGGTCCATTTTTTCAGATATGATTAACGACGTATCATCAGCGTACATTGTGAGGGATGCAGCTACAGAGAGTTTATCCAAATCATTAATATAAAACAGAATTGGCCCTGATATGGACCCCTGAGGGACACCAATGTTTGTTTCAGTTTGCTGTGAGAAATGAGTGTTGATGGCTACATATTGTGTATGTTTGAGTATAAATGATTTTATCCAATCTAGAGGACAGCCTCTAATACCATACTTATACAGCTTTTCTAGTAGTATGTCGTGATTGATACAGTCAAATACCCTGCTGAGGTCACAAAAGATTCCAACAGGGCATTATTCTGCCTCAATATATTCATTTTTTGATAATAAGAAAACACCGCAGCCTTCGTAGATTTTTTGTTCAAATATCCATGTTGGTTTCTCGAAATTATATCATATTTATGACAAAATGACATTAATTTTTCTAAAAAACAATACTCGAATACTTTGAAAAAAATTGAAGGTACTGTGACACTGACGATAGTTTCTTTATACACAGGTATTATTTTACCACATTTCAGCAATTCTGGAAAACCGCCAGAAGACAATGAGAGATTTACCATAAAAGTAAGTGGTACAATAAGTTCTTTTTCAATAGAATTATAGGTACCTCATCCGATCCCGAAGAAAATATGGCATCAGAAAAAAGAATTTGGAAGTGACGTTACGTTACGCAGAAAATGATTGAAGTCCTTGTCACAGGAGACTATATTGCTCAATATCTTTTTAGGCGCATCTGTATAGAATTTATTGAAAAGTTCAGCAACGTCTTTCGGATCGTCAACAATGGTGTTATTATCGTTTATAGTTATGTCTGATTTAATAGCCTTCGATTTATTAGGTAGCTCTGACACTAGTTGCCATGCAGATCTAGAAGGATTGTCTGAATTCTTTATTTTGTTTTGAAAATGTTCCTTTTTTTGTTTTAGTTATCAAATTATCGTGACTTTTTTTTCTGACTTTATAAATGTTTTTCAGTTCGGGACAAAATGTTTGTAGGTTAAAAAGGTCTTTTGAAATTTGACTAGATTGTTTTATTTCATGTGTGATCCATTTCTACATCTCTTAGTCACGTATATATATAATTGCATCCTTAGTCGCTGTCCGGAAGTCCGAGGTATCACAGGTTTAGGCTCTCAGTAGGCAGTCTTCAACGATGTGGCTGATCGTTTTGATATCATCTCCACAGTCGCATCTGGGGGAAGGGTTTTTACCCGATTTAAAAAGTGAGTAAGCGAATCTGTCCCATTGACCATGTTTTGCGGGGTACGTCGAATCCATGTGGTTTACTAGATATGCAAGGTATGTTGTGGTAGGCTGGTGGAGCATTGATCTCCCATTCGTCTTGCCAGCGGGCAGTTATGTCAAAACCAGCATCATGCAGAGACTTTCCAGTTCTGAGAGAGGTGTCTGGAGCGAAGTCGGTTTCTTTCGAAGACGAGGGTATCGGAGTGGATCGGTAGTTAAGGATTATTAATGATCTTGAATTCCCTGACAAGAGCGCGTGCTATTTACGGAGGTGAGCAGGGGCTATTTGCGTGGGGCTAAGCGTGGGGAGCCAGAAATTAGGTATTGGTTTGATCGTATCTGTAATAAGCCGCATTGTGTGGCTGAGCAGGATACCAACCAGGCCAACGTGAGCGCTATTAAGCCATACCTGGGCGCAGTATTCAGCTGCTGAATATACCAAGACCAGGGCTGAAGATCTCAGTGTGGAGGCCGATGCTCTCCAAAAGGTGCCGCTTGGTTTCTGGAGGATGTTATTACGTGTTTTGATCTTAGCTGATGTTTTCGACAAACGTTCTTTAAATCTCAACGTTTTGTCTAGTGCAACCCTTAGGTATTTAGGTTGTTTATCGTTTTTAAGTAGCAAGCCTTCAAAGTAGATTTGCGGTTCTTTATTGGGTAATTTTTTGTTGGGGTGTAAAGCTAGTTCGCATCCGTAGTAGAATACTACTAAACGTGCATCCTGGGTAACGCTAAATGAACCAGTGCAGCCAGACAATCCGCAAGATCTCCTGACATAAATCAGTATCACTATGACATAATATACCCTTTTAATTTTTTTCCTGTTGCCTCTAGTTGACTAACATAGTTGAATAACAAACAGGTAATTTAACTTCACTTTGTGAAGGGAGAAAGCTTATACTTTCAGTATTTCTTTGGTAACAGAATTTTAGGAATGTACTTTTTACGTCTTTTTTCGGAAATATGGATTTTGTATGTCTAGAGTATCAAACTGGAAACTGTTTTCGTATCTTGAAAACCTTCTGCATTTGTCTGTTTCAAGGCAAGTTGGTATAATCTCAGGATTCGAGAGTAGGAAAGACATCATTTCACTAAGACTCCTACAATCAAACAACCATGTTAACATATTGGCACATTGAATCTCGATATTTTGGTCAATTTTCACGTCACTCGGAGCTGAAAACTCCACGACGATTATTGTTATATATTGATGGACTACATCATGCTTATTGTTATAGCTTGAATCTGCCAACAGTGGAAAATACATAATTATAACGAATTCGACAGCTTTCATTCTCCACAAAAGATTCAATATCCTCATGAGAGAAGGACAACACTGGTGTTTCGATTATACCGTATGAGTGCCGAGAAGGTAATCTAATACTCCTACTCTCGATCGAGAACCTCCGAATAGGACGGTATTGGAAAAAATAACTTCGAAAATTGGAAACTCAAACATAGGTTCATTATTCGACAGGAAATTAAGGAACTTCTAACATGAAAGTAAAGTAAACGAAGTGTCCTATTCAAAATATGTGAATGTTCAAAAATATAATGATATGAAGATTTTGAGTTATAACTCTCCCGTATTTCAATATATATTTTGAAGAAGTACTTATAGTTTGAATACTAAAACACAAAAATATTAGTGTCCTGAAAGTTGTCACGAAAATAGTATGTTTCTCTCAAGGACAGTTATCGTTCTCCATCAGATCTTTCAAGGTAAAATTTGTTAACTCTCTAAAGACTGTCTAATCGTTATCAAACTCAACTTTTTTCGTCTTCTCAACATAAATAAACATAAACGATATTTGTGGAAAAATATTAATATTGAAAACAACAAACAACACAACAACACAATTGACAATTGACAGTTTTCATGGCCGTTACCGCCTAATATACTCTCAAAATATTATAAATGATGTACACCACTGAATAACATTTCAGTCAAATATAAAATTTATATTCATTTAATCTCTTTTCCTCATTCGGTTACTGCTTTTCTCCATAGATGATAACCAGTCTTGTAGCTCTTCGGGTGGGGTAGGTCTGTAGGAAACGTCTTTTCCTGTCAGCTTAGCCATAATTTCAGCTACGTTGAAATTGAGAGTGGTCTGTTTACTGAGAACGACAGCTCGAATGAATCCATCGTGGGTTGTGATGAACTGCTGTTCTAGGAAAAGGGTTTTCTCGTCCCAAGATACTATCTAAAAATAAAAATGATTTTCAGTTGAAAACACAGATCAGATAGGTACGAGGTCAAATGTTCACGCAAGTATTTTGCGTTTTCCGCGAGTTTCTGCTATCGAAAAAAATGGATCACAGAATTTGCATCAAATTTTGTGTGAAAAATGGAATCGAGGGCTCAAAAACACTTGAAATGTTGATAGTGGCATACGGTGATTGTACTCTGAGTCAGAATAATGTTTGAAAGTGGTACAAGCTGTGGTACGTCTGGTATTGCTGAAAAATAATTCATGGCTTTTACATTACGATAATGTACCTGCTCACTTCTTTTTTGAATTTTTTTGGCCAAAAACAACAACGTAATCATGCCTAAGCAACCGTACTCACCAGATTTGAAACCCTGCGACTTGGATTCCCAAGATTGAAGAGATAATAGTATAATTTTTGTTAATATAAACACAGGTACTGAAGTTGAATTCAGAATGTGGTTTTAGACAGGGTTTTAGCACGGTTATAGCTCTTGCTACTGTCACACAAGACATTGTTGAGGGATTTGATAAGGAAATGATTAGCACTCTGGTACTACTAGATTGTTCGAAAGCATTCGATACCATCCATCATGAGCTGATTTGGATGAAACTCAAATATGGTTTTGATAGTGCTGCCTTATTTCTCATCTGGTCTTATTTACTTGGACGATTTCAAAAAGTTGTTGTTGATGGTCATCACTCCTTACTTCTTGATATTCCATCAGGAGTCTTACAGAGTTCCATTTTGGGACCTTTATTGTTCACCATTTATACTACTGACATTATCTCGTCCATCAAGAAATGTAAAATATAGGCGTATGAATTATACATACACTTACTGTATACCTACTGTATAGGTAAGAGAAGATTGGCCTGAATGAATTGTTCCTTTAGATAAGTTGATTTAGAGCCAGTCATCAAGTATGTCCACTTACTATAGGTGAGATCTGCTGATCAATTCGCTTTTGGTAAAATTGAAATACAGACAGTACATCTATGCTGATAAATACCACAACAGGTAAGTATATCACAGTCTACCTCTACAATACATTAAAAACTTGATTGTGGAACACGGATCATTTCCAATAACTGATGTAATATGTATAATAATCAACTATTACATAAATCATCAATGAAAAAACATAATGATATTATATGCACGTACTTACTTGATCGGTTAAGTTATTGAATGGTATGTTTGAAGGTGATTGATAATGTTTCATGATGAATTTCATTAGTTCGGACTTCCGAACTAATGAAATTATATAAATGTTATTTTCAGCTATGTTTCTAATTCTTCTTTTTCATTAGTTCTTTCAGGGATTTCAAATCATTTTATATATATCAGACAATAGAAGTCCGAACTAATGAAATTTTCATTGAATGGGAATCGTTAATAATGTTCTTTTTTTTTCTAATGTGGAATAACATTCATGCATACATAATCAATTTACTCAATAAATATAACGTAGTGGTGGAAACGTATACAGTGTTTCGGTTGACGAACATCATTTTCTGAAGCTCGTAAACAAATTTAATTTTGTTTATCACTCTTTCCATTTACCTTAGTTGTAATTTTATAAGTGTTGAATAGTGGAATAGTTCTCCTGTACCGAACATTGGACGCAGTTTGCAGAACATGGGCTTTATTCTTTTTTATCTCTTGGTACAATCCAGTCCTATCATAAAAATGAAACCTGGCGAAGTCGAGCTCTCTAACATATCTCGCATTGTTCATGTGTTTGAACATGATGTCCAAATCTTGAGAAGTACAGATGCCTACAATAAAATCCAAGTAGATTAAAAAAAATATCGTCAATAGAAAAGAATACGAACATTTTGTTTACTTGTTCCACTTTCAATAAATATATGTGTTTGATGTCTTATTGATAGGCTTCATGCAATAGTTGAATAATAATTGCGAATCTAACTCAACCTTGAGGTAATATCGACAGAAATATTGTTCCTTGTATTAAGTTTTACAGGTCCTTCGGTGGATGTTTCTTCTGAACTTTTTTGAGTTATGTATTGTGTTTGTCGAAATAAAATATGTTGAGTTATGTGTCTGTCTATGCACTTTATTGTTCGAATAAAACAAGCATTGATAAGAAAGACATAGTAATAATGGGGGAGCCCAAGCGGGGATTTCGAGATTTATTGAAGCGCGGCAAATTAATATACAGGGGGATACCTTGTACCCGGTTAAGTACCTCCACCAAATATTAGCCTCAGCCGCCTGTGAGGGATAAAGGATCAGATTAGTAAAAAAAATGATTATCAGAAATTCTCGAGCGCGTCAGATTAAGCTACGTGGTAGGAAATCATAATGAAGAAAAGAGAAATTAAACTTTCTCTTTTTTACCACTTTTATTTGTAACTAACTTATTTATATATTGTATAAGTTTGAAAATGTCCTTATAGGACGAAACTGCAGTAACGTTAGTTACAAATAAAAGTGGTAAAAAACATAGAAAGTTCAATTTCTCTTTTTTCTTCATTAATTATTCAATTGATTATAAAAAATTAAATTTTTTTGAGCATTAAAAAAAATTATTTTCTTATAAATACCAGTATTCTACTTAAAAAACATACACTACTTTATTTGCATGCTATTTCCTGAGTTTTTCAATCAATCAAGTTTAATGAATTGAAAAAAAATTTAAAAAAATATTGTTTATGTCTGATTAATCAAATCTCTCTAGATAATCGTCAGATTATGAGACAGCACGTCTAAAACATAAAGATGAACCATAGAATAGAATAGAATAGTTTATTGGCTACGTGATACATTTGAACAAATATTTGAAGCAAGTCAAAATACAAAAATTTACAAATATGACGTCATATATACAAATAAAACCATCACAATGCTTGTATAACAGAACAGTGTACATAATAATGAAAACAATCAATCAACTAATGTTGAAAATGAGAACAATTGTTACTCACTCAAAGTCACATGAATTATCTATGTTGTATAACATGTATTCATCTGTAGAATAAAAACAGTGATTCAAAAAAAATTATTTGAGTTTTTGCTCGAAACAGTAGAAACTGAGTTGTTTTATGTGACATGGTAACTTATTATAGAATTTCAAATTCAATGAATTATTTTGTGAGGTGCTCAGTCTAAATCTCTCAGATCTTATCAGATTTCCTGATCTTGTAGGATATTCATGTTGTTGAGATTGTAAGATGTATTTTGATTTATTTTTATGAATTTCAATCAATGTTTCATATACAAAAGCTGTAGGAAGCGGCATTATTTTGAGATGAATAAAAAGTGGGCGACAATGATCTTTAAAGTTGGCATTAGATATTAGACGTATGACTCTTTTTTGCAATATAAATTTTTTTTTTTGGAATGACAAGAATCCCCCCACAACACTATGCCATATACCATGTGAGTATGGAAGAGTCCGAAGTACGAAGATTTGACCGCTCTTATACCGGCGAAATCCTTCAGTCTACGAATCATAAATATTGCACTTGATAATTTCTTGGCCAGTTTGTCAACATGACATGACCAGTTCAATCTGTCGTCTATATGACCCCCAGTAGCTTAACACTTTTACCCGAGGTTTAATACGTATTTGTGGAAATTATAAGATTTTGATTTTTAGCCTTATTAAGGAGAAGTCTATTTGAAACAAACCAGTTACTTGCAGACTTCATGGTGGCGTTGGCAAAAACACTCAAATCATTAACACTACCGTGACAGTCCACCAAAGTAGTATATATATCTTAATCTGACGCCCTTGAGTATTTCAAAATGGCTAATTTTTTTTGCACATTATAATAATGGCCGCGAGTTTGCGTCAGATGGAAATCGTCAGATTATTGAATGAGAGCTTTTTTGTTGCACTTAGAAAATCTGATGCGCTCAATTAAATTTTTTTTCTTTTCACTTTTAACCCTTACGTACAACCACCCACATCATGCAAACGATAAGATTAACATACCAATATTATTAAAAATACGTAGGACATTGATGCTAACAATATCTGACGCGCTCGAGTATGTCCATGCAACAGTATTTTTTTACATTTTCAAAAATCTATAGCCGCTTCCCCCACTGATGAAAAGGTATATATTATATAACATTATTTTCTTCTTATTATCTAAGCTTTGCAACCTAATTTGACTTATTGACGCTCGAGTAAATCCCCATTTTGCATCGTGGGCTCCCCTGCTGTAACATGAAATTCCTATTGCAATTTGAACTCGAGGATGAAGTTAACTTTTACAGGATTGATTTTCGAAAAGCAAAGAATGACCCTTTGTAAATTTTCTTCAGTCTGAACTGACTCGCGCTTGCCTCCCCGGTTATTACAAAATATAAAGGGATAGGTTCGATAGTGTATCCAATAATGCTCCAGTTATTCCTAAATGATCAAGTCTTTGCACCCTGCTCAATTTGTCAATAGCAGTAGCTTGTTTCATCTTTGGCTACCAAAACAAAGCATCACTGGTCACCATGGGTCTAACCACCATTGAGTACAAATACATCATGTCTGCCCGTGGATTGGATTACCTATCGGGCGCGTCCCCAGGTGGCGGATAGGGAAACGGTCCGGAAAGCCAATGTGGCCCTAACAAACGGGGTCGCCGGACTCCTGGTCAGTGGCAGAAATAAATAGGGTGAAGGAAACAGCCTACCCAAGTTCCGAGAGCTGAATGGCAACAGGGTGATTGCGGTTACGAACGATCCCCTTGGGGAACTGGGCGAAACCTCATTGTAATTAGCCTACCTCTGGCTCTGCCAGAGGTGTCCAACTCTTTCCTTGCTACTCGTGGGAACACACATGAATGAAACAAACACAAAAACAGAAACAACAAAAACAAAAACCAATCCATAGGCTGGACAGAAGTGCTCACCCTAATCTAAGGCAGTGGCTGGGGATGAAGAGAAATATCCACCCCAATCTACCGCTTGGAATGAGGCTGGACATAGCAGATCACCTCGTGATGTAATACAAAGGCCAAGGCGTAAGCGCATTTGCGGCGCCGAGGCCAAACGGAGAAAGAGAGTGAAGAAAGCGGGAGTGGCAGCAACTATAAGTGCACCCTCCTCCTCCCCCACTCCACCTCCAACAGCAAGAGCACTTCCTGCGGCGGGCGCCAAGAGCTCCGCCTTGAATAAAGGCAAGGAATCGGCTGCCCCTGCAGAAAAGCTCCCTCACTTGTGCACCTCTACGGAGGGAGCCCCAAGAAGGTTGAAGAAGCCGCGCAACGACAGTAATGTCGCTGCACCTTCCAAAACCTTCGCTTAGGCCACCGTGAGACACCTCTAGGTTGCCAAAGAGAGTGTGTGTTCGGCGAGTTATGGCCTACACCTGCCAATATAAAGGAGATGTGTCCTAATGACCTGTCCACCTGCCTGGAAAGGAAAGGATGGACGATGACCTAGGAGGACAACTCCTCGGGAGGATGTACAATGGGTCACAAGTGACCTGAGTGCTATGGGTCTACACTCGCCCTCCCTACTCTACAGATACAGATACCATTTCGCCTCCTCGGTGAAAAGAGAGATCCTGTACCTCGAAAGCTCGAGTATGACAGCGGACTTCGTTTCACAAATTATTCCGACAATGATTCACACACACCTTAGGATGGGTCTTCATTTGATTTCAGCCCCCACGTCCTTTCATTAGTTTGACTGTCAGCATTAGTGTTGCTTCTGCCTTTCTTTTTATCTTCTCTAGGTGTCGGTTTCAGGTCAGTCTTGGATCTAGTTTCGCTTCCAGGTATTGAACCTTCCATGTATCTCTTCACTTTGCAGTTATTGAACTTATAGTTTTCTATTTCAGTCCTCCTAGTGGATACTACTACTGGTATGGTCGATTTTGATAGACTTATGTTAATTTTTTGCCGGACCACCTTATGATATTCAGGGTTTGCCTTGATCTAGAATGACTAAATCATTTGCGTCACCCAGTAATTTATATCCAATATGGTCCAAACGACGAAATAACTCTTCATTACAAAGATCCAACAGTTGCAGTCTATCTAGCTGCTGCTTGTAACGGCGATCTCTCTTATCCTCAACGCAACCATGATTGATTTTGAAGACGTATTATCGAAAATGCCTTCAATAGCCAAGAAAATAGCTGAAAGTACTTCCTTGTTCGTAGAGGGATGTTTTACTTTTTCCTTGAACTGACCTAAACTGACATTAAGAACTCCATGACGAAATGAATAATATATAAAGTTTTAGGTGTATTAGGTCGTCATTAACAATTTTGAGCAGTTTCTCAAAAGATTCCTAAACAATTCACTTTACGATAAAATCACAATTCTCGTTGAGGTTCTATGTAAATTTCAATATATGCATGCAAATAATGCTTTCGTTATCATAATGATATACCTACATTAGCAGTGGAACGAATGAATTAAAGATGTAAATGATTTCAAAAAAACTTTTGTTTTTACGTGATAATATTTTATATTCATATGGCTGACTTCGAAACAGTTTCCACTCACAAAAGGGAATTTGAAAAAAAAAATTAATTAAATGTAACAAATCCTTCACAAATATGCTCCAGGATCAGGTGAAAACACCTTATCCCTCGCCTCTCATGTAGACCTACGACTTCTAAGCATATTTTGATTCCTTGATTTAAAAAAAAAACTTTTTTTTTGTGATAGCCTGATGTTTCGCTCATCGAAGGATTTCATTCATTAGATACTCTCACGAAATCTGAAGTATCATCCTCCCAAACCGATAGAAACATTTCCAAAAAAAATTCAATAACAACTGATTTTTTTTTTCACAAAACTACCTACTTTTGGTGATATTCTGGTATTTTTATCAATGAATAATTAAACCGTTGAAGCGTTAACTTATTGAAAATGCAACATGCATTTCATTTCGTTCAACTTCGTGAAATAATGATGACCATTCATTTCTCAGTCATGTTGCTCTGTTGTCTAATAATGTTATTGACTTCGTATTTTGAAATCTGATTCATGCCTATTTTATTTGTTAGGTACTTTTATTTTTTTTACGTCTGTACTAACTTGCTACATTGCAATTAACTTTGCAAACGAAGTCATATAAGTTATGTCTGTTACGTCAATAATACTGCAAAAATAGTCGACTAAATGAATATGCATTATGGATGAGTAAAACATTGAATTGTTTTCAAACAATAAACAAAATGAAAATTCTGCTTTAGATGATTCTTTTGTTAAAGTTGAAAAGTAAACATTTAATTAGCTCTCTAACAATATCGCAATTTTCAATTCTGGGGCAATCTATTGATAACTAAGTCTTTATCGGTGTATGAGAGCAAAGAAAAGTGTACCTACCATATACTTCAGTCGTTTCATCAGGTTTTTTATTTTTCTGGAACAGTCTTCCCCAGCCTATGGTAAAAAGGCACCTCAGAAAATAATTTACATCGAAAAATATGTATAGTAGCGCAATTCCTGTCACTATCGAAGAGTAACACACAAGACAATGACTATCCAAACCCATGATCTTTCATAGATATTTCAGCTATCATAAGCCAGAAATTGAACACTATATTCAATGTATGGAAAGTAAGCAACTGTTTAATAAAACGTTATCGACTTCGGAGGTAACGATATGAAATATCCAATTAGAAATGCCGGTTGGGAGCCTTGACCTCTGTTGGGTATAGGTATACGCATTTTGTATTTTACAGGATGAGTTTTGAAACTATACCTAAATGATATTTTTCAGGTCGTTGTCAATAAATTTTTGTCCATCATAAGGTGTCTAAATAGGCAAAATGAACATTTTTGTTCATTCGCCAACTCATCAAAAGATATACAGTTACAACACAAAATAAAGAACAATCAAAAATGGAACTCTGAGGCGGCGCCTTTGATCTATATTCGGTGTTTTCAGGGACCTTGATGATTATATCTCGGTGTAGATCTGAGGGTCGGCTTTGCCTAATGCGCAGACAGTCTTAAGTTTCAATATGCATCTTCAAGAATTTCAATAGGTCTCCGTTTGGGTTCTTCAATTTGTGTTAGTCACAAATGCAAATGTACATCCACTGAAAAAAAATGGTTAGCATGGCCTGAGCTCTAAATTCAGTTATGGCAGATTTTCAAGACATCATCCCAATAATGATCTATCAAAAAGAGCTCTAGCCGCTGCAGAAGTTCCTTTAGTTCTTGAACCCCTTGGTGTCCCTCGAGATGATAGAAAGCAACAGGATAAGTCAAACTCCTTGGAAATTTGGAACCTCTGGTTTGGAACTTTACCTGCGTAGACACAGTTGCAGCTTCACATCTTGCTGCAACATTTAATTCCGGTGGTGCAGCTGCTATGACTGCAGAAAAATCAAAATTTCGGGAATACTCAACTTTGTTAAGTTTCTAAAGTTTCTTCCCTGTTGCAGTGTAAACCTTTGGTGTTTTTAAATCTTATGCTTCTGAATTGTTTAAAAAAATTGTTACAAGAATGCTGAACTCAACCGATGATAACAGAGCCTATTCATTTTCAATTCAAAGAATTAGTATCACATTTCAAGGAGGTAATGCCCCATCGGTATTGGGCTATTGGGTACTCATTTGTCTAGTCAAAAATTATATGAAATATTCCTGAACCCACAAATTGAAAGAAAATAATGTGCTTTTATCGCGCCTCTTTACAATTCGGTTCACTTTGTCTGTGAGTTGGACTGGTCCAGTCCAGTATATCACTTATCGGTTCACGACAACCTTTAAATATTTACCATTTTTATTTAGGGTTACAATATTTCCGATAGATGTCTCATCAATTCAATAAACTTCCCTTCGATTGGAAGAAATATTTAAAGGTAACCTGGCAACATTGAACACGGTGAAGTTCTGATGTGACAAGTGACAACTGTCAGGAAATATTTTAATGCTAGTTTTTGTATTTTTGTCAAAATTAATTTGAAATGGTAGAGTTGTAAATAAATGAAAGTTGACGAGCATTGAGCAGAATATTTGAAATAATGCGTAACAAGGTGAGTTTTGGTCTAATTATCTTCTTTAGTCATGCCATGGAAAATAAATTTCCAAGATATATGTGATAGGTACCATGATGTTTCAAATTTATAAAGAAGTTATAAAATTCCTTAATATTTTTGTAATTAACTAACAAATCCATATTTATGACGTTCCAGGTAAAGGATAAGGCAGGGTAGAAACCGATTTTGTTGAAAACTACTTTTGATTTTGGCATCACCACGGAAAACGGAAGAAACATGCCTGCAGCTACTCTTAGTAGCCTCCAACACCCAAACAATGAAGATTGCGGGATAAGAGATGTTTGGGCACACAATTTGGAAGATGAATTTCGAACAATCAGACAAATTGTTCAAAAATACCAATACGTAGCAATGGATACAGAGTTTCCTGGAGTTGTTGCGAGACCGATTGGGGAGTTCCGTAGTTCAGCAGATTATCAGTACCAGATGTTGAGGTGTAATGTGGATTTACTCAGAATAATACAACTTGGACTAACATTCTTGGATGATAATGGAAAGACACCAGGAGGATCATATACCACCTGGCAGTTCAATTTCAAGTTTAATTTACAGTAAGCAGAGATATTTTAGCTTTTTTCGTGTTCAGTATTGATAAAATGTTGATTATAGGGCAGGGGGAATCATTTTGAATATATTTTTGTCATTACTTATGTATTCTTATCAGCTGATCACGAATCTGAAGTCAAATTTATTTGCAAGTATCAACTCTCATTCAAAAGTAAGAAACCAACAAAAATAGATTTTTCAGGGACTCACTTTTGGCACTTTTGGCATTAGATTCACATGGATTGCAAAAAATTATTGAAAATATTACAAATAAAAGTGTCTTTATGGAAATTGAATTATTTCTGGGTGAAGGAAAGAAATCAGCCATTATGACAATTGAAAAAAAATATTGTTCTTTAGGTATATGTTCTTTTTTGTTCATTTTATTTTTCGTTTATGATTAAGTATTGTGAATAAAATTTTATATTGTTCTGTAAATGGGTAACTAACTATTCATTTATTCAGTATAAATGGGAAACCCCTGTTTTACAATGATTGAATACAAAATTATATAATTAGTACCCTGCAATAAAGCTATTATTATTATTATTATTGGAAGAATTTCATTTCCAACTTTGACAATATCACAGAACTCATTGAAATTTCAGATTTCCTGAAAAACCTGTGACCTTTTTGTAGTCTTTTTCGTCCCATTAAAAAGCTTTAAGAAAAAATCACTAGTTCAGGGTTTTTTCATTTCTGGGGTTTTTTGAAGCAGTTGATAAGATTTATGGATTTTGAATTTGAGATTATTGGTAGAGTTCATGAATGACTTCAACAATATTTGGTGATAGTAGCCAAATTATAATTTTTTTTACTGCAACACATGCATAGCATATAACCAGTTTTACTGTTATATGCAGAATGATTCGGATCAAAAAATTCAATTTTCTATATTGGCTTTCTATGGTGTTTTTTTGGTCTGGAATTATGAATACAAAGAGTTTCACCATTTGAAAAATGAAATAATTCTTCTAAAGTCAATCATAAGAGAGAGTTATGAAAAATATGCAGTTGTGTTAGAAAACAAATATCTCTTGAACAAAAAAGTTATTGTAATAACAGATAAAAACAAATCTTCTTGTATTAATTTGTAATTTCAAATTGTGACCATTAAAAATTTATTATTATTACATATAGCTAGATAAACTGTATCTTATTTCCAGCAGTTATAAGAAATGTAAAAAAAATTGATATAAAAAAATAACAATTCAAAAAATATAAAATTCACATGAAACAAAAATCAAAATGATTCCTCTAAAAATCCATTTCATTCATTTATAAACTGTAAGTTCTTCGAAGAATACATTTAAAAATGCTTTTGGGAGAAGTCACGTTAGTGTCACACATCGCACATATTAAATTGAAATTTTTACACATTATTGTGGTAGCACTCGCACTTTGAAATGTAAGATCTTGTTAATCCTCAGCTCGCATTAGCTTCGATTTCTGAGTGTTGCCATTCAGAAGGGGGAGGCAGCTAGTTGACAGCTGGAATTAAGGCACAGAATATGAAAATTGATTTTTGCAGAAGCTAAGCACATATGACATTATTGTGTAATATATTATATAAAAGAGAATTTATAGTAAATAATATACTTGTATCTAATTAAATTATAGGGAGTTGATTGAGAAGTGGATACAAGTTCAATGCTTTAAAATACAAAAATTTGAAACATTTTCTTTGAACAGTTTCAATGCCTTGTGTGAACAAATTATAAATCAGATACCTTATCAAAATTCCATATTCGAGGTTAGATCTTACATAACCATACAAAAGTTTGATGATTGCCTCAATATTCTTAAACTCTCTAGTATGACTCATATGTGATTAGCTGATATAATTGTTAGGCTAATATGTGATATGATATCAAGATGTTTCCTTCCATCTGCTTGAAGAGTTGGGTTGTTCTTGTTCTTGATTTTATAATTGAATTTTATCATACTTATTGTTGTATAGAAAAATAACAGTGACATTCAAAAATTTTGAATCATGATTTTTGAAGCACCTGTTAGATACCCTGTCAATTTCTTACTGTAGGTCTGAGCAATTATCAATAGTTTTGTTTATTTTATATAACTCCAGATTGTCAACGTGAAGCAGTTTTGAACAGTCAATACTTTTGGTCAAGTCATCAATAAATAATATAAATAATGAAGGTGCTAGATTCGATAGTTGTGGTATTCCTGAGTTAGGGAACCCAAAGTTCTCATACTCCATTTCATCACATAAGTTACAACTACTCAAACAGAATAGAGGCTGTTGGTATTAGAGGAGATGAACATTTCCTTTTTTTTTAGGGAAGACATGTATGCCCAGGACAGTATAGATCTGCTTCAGAATTCTGGCATTCAATTCAAAAAACACGAAGATGAAGGAATTGAGCCTCTCGAGTTTGCCGAGTTGCTAATGTCTTCTGGTATTGTCTTGATGGAGAACATAAAATGGTTATCCTTTCATTCTGGCTATGATTTCGGATATCTTATAAAACTATTAACGGATAACAACTTGCCACAAGATGAAAATGAATTTTTCGATTTATTAAAGTTATATTTCCCAACTATATACGATGTCAAGGTAAGAAGTTCAAACTCGTTACTATAAACTGATGCCAAGTTTACAAACATTCAAAACAGTATTTTATTTTTACGTTATCAGTACCTCATGAAATCTTGCAAGAATCTGAAGGGAGGACTACAGGAGGTTGCGGAACAGCTAGAACTTGAGAGAATTGGACCACAACATCAGGCCGGTTCGGATTCATTACTAACAGGAATGGCATTTTTCAAAATGAAGGAGGTAACATACTTTTTTGTGAATATTTATTTTATCTGAATTATGTTGAATGTCACTTTTCAATTTTAACAAAACTACGGGGTGCCTCAAAATCTTGAATTTAGCAATTTTGCAATAGAAAAACTGGCCATGGAACTTGTTGTTAGTCATACAATTGGACAATATTTGACCAAAGAAGATTTTCCACAAAGTCATGGCTCAGTCAACATACGTTTTTTTGAATGTAAAAAGGTGTATGTTTGAAATTATATCAAATGATTTCCTTTCATAAAATATAGTGATTCAATTTTTGGGAAAGAAAGTATTGGCCTTCTGCTTCTCCATCCTGACACAAAAAAATGTGGCAATCTTCTAAAGAAAGGAAGGAAGTAATCAGTTTCAACAGTTAACTCTATACAAAGATGTGTAAATCATGCAAGGAAGTAACTTTCATACACAAACTAGAAGAAAAAACCCTTTAGAAACAGCTATTTTCATATAAACATTGAATTACACGAAAGAAAAATACTTTAGAAACAAAAATACTTTTACATGAATGCTGAATTATACGAAAAACACTTCTCTCTAATAAAGAAGATTCCTATAGCTGGGATTTAATCAAATAAGCAAATGCTTATAGGAATGTAGGCTTTCACGGCTGGCGTCAATGTTTCGATTGGCTTCCGGGTTTTGCGGTGGTCTTTTTTGGTTATAATCTCCAAACGTTTCAACTGCGACAGTCATCTTCAGTGGCATGGTTGAAGTACTCGTCTCGACGTGTCAAGTGGAACTGAAACAGTTGACACGTCAAGAAGAGTACTTTGACTACACCACTGAAGATGACTGTTGCAGTTGAATCGTTGGAAGATTATAACCTAAGAAAACCACGGCAAAACTCGGAAGCCAATCAAAACAAGCCAATGAATGTTATTTACGTACTTTCATCGATGACATGAGCGGATTCAATCTATTCTATTGCATGTAACATAAAAAATATAACATATTCAAAAGATTATTAAACTAGTGATTGGAAATTCTTATAATTTACATAAATACTGTCAATTGACATAAACACAAACATACATCAGGTTACAAATTAAATTTGCTACATCAAAAGCAAAACACATACATGTACACGAATATGGCCTTACACAGTAAAGTCTATCCAAATCCAAGATAGAGTAAAACAAAACCGAAGCGTGATGTTCACGTGATCACCCAGTGTCAGATGGAAAGGGCAGCGTTCATTGGTGAATTCGCCTTCTTGGTACGAGTTCGGTACCAGCACATGGTTGTAATCAGTCGTTTGCGTGTTTGTACGGCGTACGTTATACTATATTGTTTAAAATTGTTTTCCAAGATGTCCAGTACAGACACTGCTGATGACACTGTGAGCTATCCTCTGAGTCCAGCCAGGAAATGATCCAAAAAAAGACATTTGAGTGTTGAGATGAAAGAAGTGATTTTAAATGTGATCAAGAAAGAGATGGAAGAAATTGAGACATCGACTGTCGACGAAGTCGTATCAAAAGTTTCCGATAAAATTGAAGTGTGTTGCGCTTCGATTCACAATGTTTTACGGGAATATAAACAAAATCATACATGTTCCAAACCGAATACAAATCAGAATCGTCAAACTATTATAAAATCAATAGATGATGCTGATAAACATGCAATCAGAAGGAAAGTGCATGAGTACTTTTTCAGAAATGAAATACCAAAGATACACAAAGTGGTATGTGTGTGAGTTCTGTCCTCTAGCAAAACATGAGGATGGTTAAAGCCTACTGCCACTTGAAGCGTTATAATTATCAACCTATTTTTCTCTTCACCCCAGTCATGTTATGAGATATAACATTCAATATAAAAGTATAGAGCAATGACAATAACATGATTCCTAACTCAATAAAAATATATCTACATCTGAGAATAATTATGTTTTGTATAGTGAATACTTCACTGAAATATGTTGATGCTCTCCAGAAGATGAGTCTGTAGAATAACATTGCTGTACCATGCCAAAATACGCTACTCTCAAAACTTCCAGAGACAATATTTTTCAACTGTCTCATGATAAATCAAACCGATCTTATAAGTTGAATCGGAACATCTGTCGTGAAATCATTCTATTTGAAACTTTTTTTCTCACGTTAGAATGAAGGTACTGACTCTTAATGCGAACTTCGCTAGCCAAGTTGGCATCATCAGTAGATGACTAAAACTAAATCTTACAGCTACTCTAGAGATTATAAATACATCTGGACAAACAATAACCTCACATCATGAGTATCTTCAAAATAATTTCTAGTTTTTTTCACTTTCTCATCATTTTCATCAGTTGTTGATAAGCTGTGGCGTCCAGGATGAGCAACGTTGTTAACATCTTCTCGACCTTTTGTTAAAAGCTCGTACCTCTTGTAAAAATTTTTTTTCAGTCAGAGTGAAATCACCATATAACACTGTCAACATTTCAAGTGTTTTTGAGCACCATTTCATTTTGTTGTAGAAAACTTGATGCAAATTCTTTGGTCAATTTTTCTCGATAGCTGAAAATTGCCGAACACACAAAACACTTCTGACTAAATTTAATATTCTAAACAGCTATATTTTAAAATTATTTTCTCACATACTGGGTGATTCAGCCGAGCATGCCCATTCAAAGTTACATCTTTCAATGGAACACCCAGCATATGAATACATCATTTGATTCCAAATTTTTTAGCTCTCTAAGGAGTTTTTGTTTTCGAATTTCCATTGCGGCATTTTCAAGTTATTCCAGAAAAACCTATTTTGCAGACAATATTTTTTTAATTCACCATCCGCATGTCTACAGCAATTAAGTGGATGTTAATTTCGGGAATCTCAACTTTCGGAAACAATATATAGGGTGCTCTGTAAAACCGGTCAAGTTTCATTCATTTTCAAACAGACATAATTCAACTTTTTCAAATGGAACACCCTGTTATTTTTTCATTTGTATGAAATGTTTCAACATTTCACTACATTTTTCATCAGAGGTATACGATACAAAAAACAGATATTTTACAAATTATACCAAGTTTTAGTAATTGTTGTAACCACACCACCTTCCTGTAGAAGGCATCTGCTGTAATAAGTTTTTTGTTATTTAATCATTTATTCGTGTTTTTGTGACTGATTGAAGGTAGAAACCAAAAACGTTTTTTTTCCTGAAAACTAACCACTCCTATCGTATTCATAATTTTCCATATTGATGGTAAAAATAGCAAAAGAGAATAACATGATTCAACATATCCTATTTTTTCAGATGTTTTTCGAAGACACCATCGATGACTCCAAGTTTTCTGGCCATCTTTACGGACTGGGAACTTCATTTGCTGTCAACGGTACTTCAAACAATTATGCAAATGATAATGGTGACACCACGAATTCTTCATGAAATCCATTTGTCTGTTTCCTTAGAGTGCTAAGTATAAGATAGAAAAAATAAATTTTGCGAGTATGCTACGTTTTTTCAAAAAAAATATACCTCTGTTATTGTGTTAGATTTTAGGTTTTTTACTTTTAAACTAAGGTGTTCAAGCCTCCATACCAATTTGAAATATTTAAACTTATTTAATAAAAATTACTTATAGTCTAGTGGGTGTTTTATTTTTCAAACGTCGAAATACTAAATGAATAAATAAAATTGAAATAGGTTGCTTTACTGGTAGAATTGGAACCAATGTCGTAAAATGAAAGTATGTGAAATACTTTTCCCATACCAGAACAAAATACTGTTTCTTGAAGCGCGTTCTGCTAACCAAGTTAGCATCATCAGGAGATGACCAGAATAAAATGTTCCAGCTACCTTAATGTTGGATATATGTGGACTGTTGAAAAAAAAATAAGGTGAATGTTCAAATTTCGCGGGCTGCATACTTTCGAATTTAGTGTCGGTCCTCTTCACCAATACGTCTAGGAAAGGCAATTCGTTGTGGACTTCCTTCTCCATTGTGAAAGTGATAGAAGGACTTACGTTGTTGATGTGTTTCAGAAAAATGTCTAGTTCTGCATTCCCATGGTCCCATATTATGAAGGTGTCGTCTACGTATCTCAACCAGACTTGGGGCTTCTTCAAGCTAGCCTAGAGATACGTAACGTATGGAAACCTCTTATCTAGCAAAAAATGACCAACTCCCGCCAAACGGTCATCTCCTGCTAAAACCAATGAAGCGGAAAGAGGAAATAGGTGATGGTGAAAGCACCCGAACGACCTATAAATAGTCAGATCTCGGAGAAATAAGTCCAGTTATCACCCAAAGACGATTGTGGATACTAACAATCGAAACGTCGTGACGTAACTTGGTTTGGAATCTTTTTATTTTTCATTTTTGTTAATAATATTTTTTAATTTTCAGCTTTTATTAATATTTCAATTTTTATTTTCTGGTTGTAGCTTGTATGTTATTTCACAGTAATTTCAGTTTTTTGTTTTAATAAAATTGTTATTTTCGGTTAATCTTTATATTATTTTCAGGGATTTCAAATCAATTTATATTATTAGACAATGGAAGTCCGAACTGATGAAATACACCACGAAACATTGTCAACCACCTTCAAACAAAAATTACTTGATGTTATGTTATAAATACCTGACTACTCAAATTATATTCATCTCATCTTTATGACTACCATTGGACTTATCTCATGTCATGTTAATGATTTATGGAGATTATTAAAAGTATCTATCTATCTATCAGAGAAGTGGCTGAAGATATTGGCATATCGATGGGCATGAAGCGTGTGGCAGCGAAGGTTGTTCCAAAAATAGGCAGTTGGTAGAGATGAATGTTTGGAAATTTTATTTCGAAATATTCATTTTCTTGTATATAGTCTCTGAATCATGGCAATACATTCATCCAAACATCCAGTTAATAATAATGAGTTTTCTACAGTGTTTAAGGCTCTCCTTGAGTCGAGAGCCACAAACACACTAGCTATATATTGTAACATGTCAATAATTAGATCAATAGCAGCTTTGGTTATGCTACTTCCATTTCTGAACACATATTGTTTATTATATCAGAAAATCATTCTGTTAAGGAAGGAAATAAATCTTCTGTTGACACATTTTTCAAGTACCCCCGACACTGAACTTGACCGAAAAATTAGGAAATAACTGTGAGTGAAAATTTTGTCTTCTGTTTTGTGTCATTTTCGTAGTTTTTAATCCATTGGAGACTGGCCCTGATGAGAAAGACAGGTTAACAAAAGTGCTGAGGTGTTGAAAATATTTTAATTCAATGAAATTGTTGGTAACGAAATAAAGTTGGATTTTTTCGATTCATGTGTTTCGAAGAAACTGGTTCATCTCTAGTAGATAGGTTATGAATGCCACTCAGATTTTCAACATCTAAAAACATTTCTGGTGTACCACCGTAAATTCAACTTTGGAGAAAATAAACATACATATATGAGATCTGGCAACATTTTATTGTAGTTTATTCAGATGTGATGCTTTATACAGCATAGTTACATAGTAACAACTGTTATTTTCTACTTAACACTTAAAACTAAAAAATTCTATGGCTAGGTCAGTGTGCTTGTGAAATGATATAATCAATGTACAGTATAAGTAGTTTGTTTCATATTCGGTCAACTTTTAGAAAAGATGAAGTGCCTAATAAACATGCAAAATTTTATATTAAAAAACGTGTTTCCGTCCTTAAAACCAGTAATAAATATCATTGGCAAGAATTCAACTATTCATTCGAATAAAAATGTCACAAATTTTAATTGAAAAAACTTTGTGCACTCGGCATTATTGAGCACCTCCTGCAGTCAATTCAGTACAAAAATCGAATAAAATAAGGAATTGTACTAAGTCAGATCATAAAATAATATCACTATGCAAGGTGCTTCGAAATTAAGATCCCAAATTTTTATAAACTTTTGCAAATATTACGCAATCTGGACTCCTAATCTAAAACATCCTGCATATAACAAATCAAACATAATTATTATAATCTATAGGTACAAAAAATTGATCTACCAAACAAACCAAGGAAGTGGTTTTCTTTTTTAATAACTAATATCATAAAAATCTACACAATAATTATAATTCCAGTCTCGAAAGTTCATTTTATTTTCTCGTCTTTAATAAATATGTGGCATCTATTTCTAAATTATCACAGTTCTATGAAGAAATTGCCATAAATTATCTTATCCATTGATAAAGAAGTCTCTGGATGATTATTAAACACAAGGAAAATTATGAGGAAGCAGAAACATTTTTCCCATGCTTGTGTAGGACTCTCCTCTGAGAATTGATACTGAATTAATCTTGCCTCATTCGTAAAATTTTTGAGTTCGAAAATGAGTCTGAATCAAGACTAGACTGAATATAAACCCACTTATTTTGAGAAAGAATTATACAATATTTCTTCGTGCTACCAAAAAGTACTTTTTCAATAAAAATAACCATGAAAATATATCATCATCGAACAAAATGTCAACGGAAAACTATTTGTTTCACCTTGATCTGAAATACAAGATATGTACAAATGTGTTTTATGAATTGACATTTAAAAGTAGCCTTAGATTTCTGATTCGCCTGATGTGTCGTTTAACAAAGTTAATATTTTGACATTCAACAATGTAAAATGTTATTAGGCATGTAAATATACTTGCTATCCTTGAAGCGGAGCCATTTTACTTATTTCAGGCGATCTTTTTATATCTAATTACAGATTGTGGCTATTACAGATCATTGTCCTTAAAGTAGGTATGTCCAATGGCAAACGTTTTTGATATGGTATGTCAAGGATTAGACCCATCTATTCACATCCCTTTCATATTCTGAAGAGACACCATTTAAATAGAAGTAAAAGGCAAGTAATGAAATGTTACAATTCATACTTTCTTATATTGAAGAAACACTTCATTGTGAGATTTTCACTGAATTATTTCATGAAAACGCAACACGAGTTTCGCTATACAATATCCTCTTCAGGCGTTTTTGTAAAACAATTTAGTAAAAATCCCACAAAAGTTTGCTTGAATGTGTTAAGGATTTTCATCAAATATTGGTCGATTCCATCATATATCATAGTTTCTCAATGCCAGGAGGAGGATATCTGTAAAGGGGCCATGTAGAAACAATCTTTGATTTAAGGCGGATTCAAATTTACCATTTTCAAAATGTGAGTTGGGCATTCTATCACTGCGCTATTAACCACTAACTACATGGCAGGTCAGAGAACTTGGACTCTATAAGAGAACTTATAATTAATTTAACCCAGCTTTAAAAGTTTGACTTCTAGAAAAATTAGATACATTCATAGGAGACGCCCATGGAATTGATTTTTAATCCACCTCCACCTCAAATACAACTGAAACTCTCAAAGGGTTTTCGTTCTCCTATCACTACAGATCAAAATTTACTGGGAGAAAATTGAAGGCAAGATAAAAACAATACGAAATGATTCAGTATTGAGGGAAAGCATTTTTTCAAATATACATTTTAATAATTTCTTTACTTCAGGCACCAGCAACTGAAATAAAAGTTTTTCATAAACCCAAAGTAACACCATCCATTCGTAATGCTCTTAGAATTATTGCACTAATTCCTACAACCTTCAAGCTTGTTTGGTAAATCCCTCAAGAAGTGAAATAACAAAAACAAGAGAAAAAACTTATTTGCTTGGGCCCACCAGAGGTAAGGACCTTGCACCCGCTCTTACGAGCAGCAAGTATCTTATACAATATAATCCTAAACATCTAATATTATAATACAGCCTCTCTTATGAACCATGGCATAAACAAGTCAGGACTTTTGGGGGACCAATTATCCATTCTCAAATCAAAGAGTAATATACGATTGTTAAACTTAAAAAAATCGAGGTCGATTACTTCTAATCAAAAGCACAGATGCACGGGGAAAAGATATCAATTTTGACATATAATCCAAGAGTTTCGATTACGTCCATTATATATACTCTGAAACTATAGTTTTGGAATATATTTTAGATATAAAAAAATGTTGCAGCAAAATATTATTTCAAATACTTACTGACTCGAGTAAACATTAATCAATTCTTAGTAGGATGATTGTAAAACATATTATAATCTCTGAATTGTCATATTTTTAAGTGAATGCCTGAATGTAAATACGTGGAAACTGGAGACAAACTTGAACAGACTATGTACAGCCTGTCCTCAATTCATATGACTTTATATGAGATTGAAAACACTTCGGGAGTTTTCTGTTTTAAAATCTGTCTTTTCGTTAACCAGCTGTCGCTCCCCCCTACGAACGACAACCCTCAAAAGTAAACACTTATGTGGGCTAAGGATTAACGAGGTCTTACCTTTCAACGTGCGATTCCTAGCACGGTTCAAGTTAAAGTCAAACAACAAATTCATTAGTATTTTGTTTCATGATCAGCTCCCCTTTTTCTAAACTAGTAGGCATTTAAGATATGTTACAAGTTCATTTATGTAATATTGGACCCTCTAAAAACATTATAGTATGTTAATAAACTACATGTTCGTCCTTAGCTACAAAATCTTGGCCTTGATAGTAACTGACATGCAACTTAATAGTTTATTTGGTTCGTATGCTAGAGGAATCAACCAATTATTTATCTTGAAGTAATGGAGTCAAAACCAATCTATTTTGGAAAACCGAAATTTCATGATAAATAAATTCTATAGTTATTAGTAGAAACATTGCAATATGAAATATTCGACCTCATGAATGAAAAAAAAACATAAACACTGAATATTGCACCCCAGACCCTTTCATGGTTACACCAAAGCTGATGAGTTGGTCGCGGTCAATGAGACCACACTAAAGCGTTAGAATTTATTAGATAGGCAAAAATGGCAACATCTTTCCGGAATTTCCCAGCTCGATGTATGACTGAAACTTCCACAAAGTTGTGCTTGCCCTTGTACACAACAAACGTTTTCTTCAAACGTGTATGATGTGTGAATGTAGATTAGAGCTGAAATACTTTTAAAGTAAAAAAATCTAATGTAGAAATGATTCGAGGAAGAAATATAACATAAAAGTATGGTATTGCACATTAAAATTATCTTAATTATTTTATACCATATTATTTCTAGAATTGTTGTTTTTTATTTATTGTGCAATCTTTTATTTCAAAATATTGGGGTAATCAAGAATTTTCTCAATTCTATATTGAAAATTCCACTTGTTTATGGCAAATGAGAATCTGAGTAATTTAATTTTAAGAAATATAAGACCTATACATGGTGGTATAACTTTACATTTACTCAAGGAAGAAACAAAAAATTCTAAAAACCCTAAAATAACAAAAAATTATAATAAAAATTCATATAATCAGATGCCACCCTGTATATTCTTTCAATAAAATTCATTAGGCGTTTTAGAAGGCGATGGTTCGAACCTAAGATATTATAATTCATTGACTTCATCGAACCATTTTAACATGTAACAAATAACATTTAATGGACATTTCATTTCTAACTTTCAGATCTAATCTATGAATTGAGCCTCAGCTTACTTTTCTACATACGTTAGAAATACGATGTACCCAGTATAATTAATGAATGAATGTAGTGTATTTGAATTTTAGCATTAATTTTATATTGAAATGTCTCGTTTGGTTCTTTTTTTCATTTATTACGATATTTAGAACATGTTTTGTGTTGCTTTTAGTGGTTACGATATATCACACTGAAGTTGAGAATGAAGGAAAATTTCTTGTCCGAGGATAGTAAAGTGGGTTAGGTACGTAAGGAAAAGTCGCGCACTCACACAAAATAGTCAACAGACACTCTCCAACTCGTGGCTGCGTTTTCTATTGGCTTGCCTTTTACGAAACTCGTTGAATTCCTGTTTCATAGCCTGAACCCTAGCATCGATGTTATCGTATCTGCTACGAATGCTCCCATAACTTTTTCTTTGAGGTGGACCCGGCCCCGATGTGTCCAGATCTACGTCTCTTGATCCAGTAGGCGTGGAAGGGGTGGGAGTAGGGGTGCTCGGATCGAATTCGTAGTGCCCGTCCACGCTTCCGACATCCACAGCCTTGTGGAGGTGGTCAGAGGCTGAAGGGGAAGAGCTAGCGAACTCTAACCAATGGCCAACAAGAGGAGGTGGTGGTGGAGGTAAAACTGAAGCTGGTGGCGGCGGAGGTGGTCTGTATGGAGGTAATACCCAACCTATGAAGGTGCTGCCGCTGTGAGAACTCTGGTTCTGCTGGGATGTGTTTTTACTGCCGAACCCACTAGAGCTAGATCTACTTTCCGGTGACCTATCGAGATGATCTAGCTCTGGGGCGCTTCTAGCTATTCTTGCATGTCTGGGTGGTAGAAACCTGGAACTTCTACCAAGCCTGTGCTGCGGGACTGCTTTCGGACTGTCTCTTACTGGGTGGACAGGAATAAAGCCTTGGTGTTCCTCATGAATGGCTCTCAGAGGTGGCAATTCTTGAGAATACATCTCGTGAACGGATTTCAACTGGGTGAAGCCAGGAGGAGTGGGGAATGATCTTTCTCCGGAGCTGGGGTACCTCACGGAACTTAAATCGCTGAAGTACAGAGGTGTCCAAGGAGATAAGAGTAACCCACTAGAGGTGGCAGGACTACTCGACATAACCTGGGGAGTTTGTGGAGTATATATGGTAGAAATAGGCTTCAGTGCAGGTTGTTGAAACCTCTGCCCCATGAAAAAAGCTGCCAGCCCTGAAGCAGACTGTCCGGAAGCGTCGGATCTAAGACTGAGCTCGCTGGGATATCCTACAAGGGGTCTACGCCACGAAGCTCTATTTCTGATGCCACGTTTTGGTAAAAAACCACCATCGTCACTGCTGGAGATGTTCGAAGAGCTGTCGGCGCGCAAGCTGAGGACGGAGTCTACCAAAACGAAACGACCATCGGCTGCTCTGGAAATTCGGGCTAAAGATTTAGAAGGGGAGCCTGGATGGAGGTAGTCAGGGTGCCAGGTGAGACTGCTCAGGCTTCCGGATCTACAGCGGTCCCGGGGCCATATCCAATTAGCGATAAATGCTAGAGTGGTTAAACCTGGTATTCGGCCTTTTCTAAGTCTGGGGAAAAAATGTTATTAATGAATTGTATCAATGAAAAAGGTGATTTTTTCCATGAACGTCATGCAATAAGCAGAAGAAGCGGGCTCAATCTGAAGACAATATATTATGGTACAATTATTTTTTATGCAATGAAATTTCTCAACTCATATAAGAATTGAGTTTTTTTATCGATCCCAAAAGGCGGCTTCAATAGAATGATATGTAATAATAATTTTTCTTAAGATTGTGCTTTGAGGCAGATAGGTTCAACTATGCATATGGTTCAGCTCATCACCTCTGATGAGATCTGTGGCAGGTCGAAACAGCTCTGTCTGATATAGGATCACAAATGCTGTGTTTCAGAATCTGACCTCATAAACATATACGTAGGTACACTCATTTATGTTTTTTCTGTCTTCAGTTCGAATTGGCGTTTAATTCGTTGAATTATAAGGCATTTTTAATTTTTCAATATTATGAGTATTCTTGTACAATTTGACCGAAACAAATCGAAAAAAAATTGCAAATTTTTGATTCAATGGAAAAAAATCACAATTGGTGAACAAACAAACATAACATTAAAACACATCATGCTATAAACAATTCAAAACAATACATAACATAACAAACATATATCACAAGATTAATGACGCACATTGATTCAAAACGGCTTGTTTATACAATACATCGACATGCATATGGATGAATTTTGGCGTGATTGATTTTTATTTTAGGTACATTGTAGTTCATCATGGATTGTGTATTACTTCAAAACTTGTTCGTAATTTTCAACTTACAGAGGTTTCTAGGAACTGATGAACGAATTAGGTACTCAACATTAAACTAATTGCATCAGGAAATACATATTTATATCTGTTATCCATGATGGTATTAAAAAACAAGCTTGAAAAGAGTTGAAAAGAGACAAGGCTGGAAATATGCTTAAAAAATTATCTCGAAATAAAAATCGATTCTAAATGAGAAATTCTTTCTAACTATTAGAAATCGGTCTAATTTCGTTTTTATTAGCCCTTCCTGTATATGCTTATAGAAATTGGTTGAAACAAGAAGTATAAATTATGCACTACAACGATTGTAGTGGAGTATCAAAAAATGCGTAGAAAAGAAAAAAATGTGTTAATTTGTGTTTTATTATTAGTTGTGCATGGTACCTGCCTGAGGATTATTATTCTGAATTAGCGTTTCGAATGTCAATAACTCACTGACCAGTTGCAAACTTAATGATTTATCAAGTACTTTTAGAATATTTTGTTGATCTGCTGAAAACATTGTTTCATCTAATATATAAAAATGGATGTTTGTTGATTGGTTGGTTGGTAAGAGATAAACTTCTACATCGCTCAACCGATCGTGATGAAACTTGACATGTATAAGTAATTTTTCATAGAGAAGGTTTTTAGGCTATCAATTTTTCTGTAACTCGCCAATAGATGGCGCTGTAGAACAATTTTTTGAAAGCACTGTTCTATAACGCTGCGCACGCCTAAGTTCGTTGATTGGAACAGCAGCGATACAGCAACATAGTACTAGTTCATTATAGAAAGGAACTCTCTCATAGCATCTGGGAAACAAACCATTCAAGTTTTTACTGTTATCTACAAATAAATTAACAGAGAATTGAGAAATAAGTCCAAATTAATAATGATTGGAGCGAGCTTTAACTCTTTGGAGTCTATCGGGACATACGTGTCTCATCCATGTATTTCGTGCGCCTAGTGGTACAAATAGATCCCGTTTTTTCATTATACATAAATATATCAGTCTCTAAACACACACTATACAAGTATTTGTTTACAAGTGGTCACATAACCTCACAGTTTGCCGGTGAAGTCCGTCTAGCCAACACGTGCTTTGCGTTCCACTATATTCTGAAAAATTTGCAAGTGTATTATTGCCCTAACTGTATTGTGTCTGCTCTCTAAGGTTAGTAATAACCAATGCACTAGTTTTCAATGATCGTGTACTAATAAAACCTGTTGAATTTCATTACTTTAGACTGTGGGACACCTGGGTCCCAGCAGGCATTTTGAACGGGACACATTTGTCCCGGTGGTTCTTACAACAATGAGTGAAAGAATATTGACACAAAGAGAACTTGAAGAAGAAGCTAATAGAATTATAGAAGATGGCTTGAGTGATGACGATTATGACCCATTTCATTGTGAAGATTCATCAGATAAAAATTATTGCCCCTGAGAGCGATAATAGCGAAGATGATGAAAATTATTGTTCCTCAGAAAGCGACAATAACGAAGATGAAATTATCGCTGATGATATAAAAATGATGATAAAATTAGTCAAGAATAAGGTAATGAGACAATCGGAAGTGAAAACGTAGTGGCACCAGATGGAGTAGTATTTTGGAGTAGCGGCAGTCAACAATTTTCTCCCAGATTCTGTATACCTGACGAAGCAGAAGCTACTTCTTGCCTGCCGAGACAAATGAAGGAAGTTGAAATTTTCTTGAAGATTTTTCCTAGAAGCCTACTCATGCAGATTACTGAATAGATCTAACCGATCAATATGCGGGCTTATACGACTTCGACAGAAGATCAAATAAGCGGTGGAAAAAAGTTTTTTTCAAACTCCTTATGATAGCTGCAAGAAATGCTCATATTCTCTACGATGATGTAAGATGCAATAAAACTTCATTCCTGCCATTCCTAATTACAATAGCAGAAGATTTGATTGCGTTGGGACGAAGTGGGGCAAGTGTGAAGAAAAAATCAGCAACATCTTTAAGGCGACCTAGTTCGAAAAAACGAAAACATCAAAATGTTGAGGGCCCCACAAGACGTCGCTGCTGCAGAATGCGCATAGATGCAAAAAGAAGTAAGAACAAAAACATTGTGTCAAATGTGCAATAAACCTCTGTGCAAAAATTGCTTCACTCCTTACCATCTGCAATAATGTTCTATATGTTGTCCAATATAATTTGAATGGAAATACATTTTTTTTCGAGACTACTGGGTTCAATATGTCCCACCTAAAATGTCTAATGGGACACATATGTCCCGGCCCTTAGCGAAAAAAGGGCGTAACCTGCATTCATAAAACTAACATTTCTTGATATAGTATCCACATTTACATAAAATTTGACCTCAGATATATCACAAGTATAAGAAAAATAAATCAGACTCCAAAGGGTTAAGTGCTCACAGTATGTCATGAAGTAGACAAACAATTAGAATATTTGATTATATAAGGTTCATCTAAAATAATGTCTTTGATTTCAAGTGATGATTACTTGTCATATTTTATGAAAAAAAGTCCATGTGACCGTGTGTCTTAACTTGTTTCGTTTCAGAGTATCGAGGTGTCACAGTTTTACTGTAAATATTGTTCTTTCTTTAATAATTCACAATTATTTTCGCCGATTTTGATTAAACTAGGTGCGTTTGATATGAGTAACAAGGAGGTTTTGATATTATTGGAAAAAGCTGAACTTTATCGAATAAGAAAGAGTCACCGAATCATTTCGGAAAAATAAAAAATGTCGTACAAGCAGTCTCCTGGTTAAATCATTTTTCACATTACAAATTGATGCCATCTCGGTAAAAATGTCATGAGTTATTTAAACCTTGCCTGGTTTGACAGGTTATTGAATTAAAAGTAAATAATTTGTATCCCTTACACATTCAATTTTTACTTCGATTCGAAAATGTTTAAAAATGAAAATTATATATAAAAAAACATTTTTGAAGTGAAGCTTTTATACAAATGCACTCACTAAAAAGGAAAAACTGATTTCATTCATTGGTTGATTTACGTTATTCTGTGAGTATGAGGATTGCCCCGTTTGAAATATTTTGAATATGTTACAGAATAACCTAGGTCAAACAATTACAGAAATAATTTTTTCAATTCAGTCCATTTGCATAAAAGCTTGTTTTCCAACAGGAAAAAAAAACAGTGGTGTACAATATTTGTTACCATAAATATCAATCAGGTAACCCTCTGTGACGTCACTGGAATTATTATCCGTAATATAATTTCATGAAGAGAAGCCCCTTGATACTGCTAATAAACACACCTAGTTTCATTGAAATCGGCACAAAAAGTTTGAATTATCAATAAAAGAAAAATATTTTTGGCGAAACTTTGAAACCCCTTTACTCGAAAATGAAGCAAGTTAGGACACGCATTCATATAAACTGTTTTTCATAAAATATGACATGTAATCACCAGCTGAAATTAATAACATCATTTAAAATACACTCTTTATACTAGTAAAAAATGATTTCCTACAACCTTTTTACCTAATTTAAATGAAAGCATAAGAAAGTATTGTTAACAAACGAAAAGTATGATAGAAAACTTGAATCATCACGTTCCTAGAACACCCTGTTTTCCATGATCTATTTATGGTTAGAATGTTCGAACAAACTGACACAATTTGGCTCAATCGAGGAAAGTCCCTGCGGAAATGGAAAGAAAATCGTTGGGAGTAAATTAGTAGGAAATGGAATCAGGAAATAAGCTCAGGAAATTGACTTTCTATCTCTGATAAGAAACACATAATACAGACAGATTGTGGCAGGTGCTTTATACCGAGAGAAATATTGACGATTCGATATTTAGAAATAACACAAAATCGATCCATCATATTGTATAGGGTCTTTCAACAGGGACTTCCGAATTTCAACAATTGATAGCGGCCATCTTGTTGAAGCTACATCTGTCAAATTAGTTGTCATTTATTCAGTTTGTTTTGCTGAATCACCATGGATGGATATCGCATTGAACATTATGTGCAAATGATGAAATCGTTTTATTAAAATGGGTGTTCAGAAGCTCCGCGCGGTTGTCATGACCGTCCTACCGAGAAGACTATTCCCAGTGTGGTGGATAAATTTGAGTACACTGGTCCAGTAAACGCTCGACCAACACCCGTATGTTGACGAAACGCAAGATGTACTGAAAACATCACCGCAGGAGAATCCGATGCAGTCGATTTCGTGTCGCGCAGATTTTGCAAATTTTGCGTCGTAACTTGG